TGTGGAGCATCTCCGCATCCAATGTATTATGGCGACAAGTCCTGTGTAGCATCTCCATGTCCTGTGTAGGAAATGTTAAAAAATAATGTTAGGCTCACATTAATAGTTTATAGAAATGTACAAATAATGTCCTGTGTAGGAAATGTTAAAAAATAATGTTAGGCTCACATTAATAGTTTATAGAAATGTACAAATATAACAAATAAATAAAAATACCTAAAAATAATGTTAGGCTCACATTAATAGTTTATAGAAATGTACAAATATAACAAATAAATAAAAATACCTGACGTAGAGGCATATGCGTCGCCTCCAGAATGTCTACCAAAAAGTCTTTCAAGCGCTTTCTTACATAATCCTACTTTGAAAACATAACGAGTATCCAACAAAAACATATAATGCAAATAATTAATAAAATAGTACATGGCAACAGAATCGTGTGTACATGATGTCCAGTCAAATAGATAATGTAAAGACAATACTATAATACATGACACACACTGATACATGATAACCAGTCAAACAGATAATATAAATGCAATACTATAATACATGACACACACTGATGTCCGATACTATAATACTACGAGCATGTACAAATTATAATAAAACACAATGAATGTTCTTTTTAATTCATAACCAAGTATTACATTGTTATGATAATGTTGAGGCTATACTCTGTGACAGTGTGCGGATAGCCTGCGACCGTGTGCGTGCCGACAAAAAGACTATTCTTATAGTTTTGTCGACTCCACTGCGGTCTGGTTTTTTACCTTTACGCCTTGGCTCACATATAATCGCAGGTACATCAGGGCACGTTAGTGCAATTTCATCGGCCAGATTATTATTTTGTGTCAAGGAAAACTCAGCAACTGTTTTGTCGGCCAAGATAACCTCCTCCATCGGCCAGATTATTATTTTGTGTCAAGGAAAACTCAGCAACTGTTTTGTCGGCCAAGATAACCTCCTCATCGTGATCTTCGTCAGACACGGCTTCATGAAAACTCAGCAACTGTTTTGTCGGCCAAGATAACCTCCTCATCGTGATCTTCGTCAGACACGGCTTCATAAATGTAGGCTCTAAGCGGATTCTTAAGGACAACCCATTCGTTATTTTTCATTATATCTTTGACATAAAAGTACTATTTGGCATGAGCAGCTAACATGTACTTTTTAGTCTGATATATTTCCTTATTAGTATTAACGAGTGTGTAACCGTAGTCATCCTTCATCTTTTTCTTCTCACACCAACGAACCTTAAACATTACATGACCGACCTCCTTATTAATCCTATAGAAAATCTCCATGATGTCTTTTACCTGACCGTAGCAATAGATTTCCCCTTGTATCGGATTTAAATCTTTTGAGCTAGCATATGACAGTTGCGAGAAGAAGCAGAACACACTGCTATTTTGCATTTGTCGTCTCTCTTCGAGACCGATGGTGTTAAACCTAAAGCCGTTGACACAGTAGTCACCATAGTGCTTAACCATGTTAGAAGTACCTCTGGCATATAAATAAACTTTCTCAGACAGGTTAACCCCATTCGTAATTCATTTGTCAACCTTTAAGAAAAGAAAAAAAATAGTTTACATATATGGTGGCAGGCACATATATTTGATATATGAATCAGAAACATAAAAAAAATCTTACTTCACCCATCATCCATGCAGGGAATTGTCTAGAGTGTGTGTCCATAACTCTTTTATTTTTTGTTCTGTATTTAAGAGTAGTCTGGACATATCGGATGTGAAGACTAGAATAGAAGCATTTATAACGGTTAAATAGAGATAATTATTGTGAGGTGATATGATCTAATTCAAACGGTTAAATACTTACATTGCGTATATGTTAAATATAGTATCATTGCTCAGGATATATGTGTGGGCTTGATCTAGCTCTATTCTGGGGAATCAAGTGTCCTCCCCACGATCATTGTAGAATGTTCCGTTAATTATTCATTGGGGATGGGTTAGCATTGTCTTCACACCTTGTAAGTAACGAGAGATGAAATTCAAACTCTCGTTACTTATGTAGTTCTCTGTGATCGACCCTTCAGGACGTGCACGATTATGCATCAGTTGTTTCATGAAACCCAAATACCTATAAGCATATAGTTTCATGATTTGTGACAAAATGGAACTGAGAAATATAATTTGACAAATATTAAATGAACATTATAATGATAAATACCTCTCCACAGGGTACATCCAGTGATATTGAATTGGTCCTGCGATGCGGGCTTCGTATGCTAAATGTATTGTGAGATGCACCATGACCGTAAAGAATGAGGGTGGAAATAGTATTTCTATTTTACACAGTGTATTAGCAACAAGTCTCTCTAATTCTTCAAACTCCCTGATATCAATCACCTTGAAACACAACTGCTTGAAGAAACTGCATAATTCTATTACCACCATCGTGAGTTCCTTCTCAGCATGTCACAATACAACTGGGAGAAGTTGATGTAATAGAATATGATGGTCATGTGTCTTGAGTACCAAAATCTTTCTGTCCTCAATATGCACATTTACTAAAATGTTTGAAGCATAACCATCCGGCGTCTTCACGAACTTTAGAAATAAACACATATTGTGGACATCATCCTTCGACAGTGTGACACGGGAAGCTGGGAGTTCAAACTTTACGTCACCCTTATCTATAGCTTGCAGTTCAGGATGGATGTTCAATTCTGCTAGGTCTCGACGTGCCCTTAAGTCATCTTTTGATTTTTTTCCCCGTCCTGCAACAAAGTGTTCAAGAGATTCTCGCATATGTTCTTCTCGATGTGCATGACATCCAAGTTGTGACGTATTTTTAAACTTTTCTAATATGACAGCCGATAAAATATGCTGAATTTTGACCATCCATGTGGAAGTTCAGTGTCCTTAGAGACATGCCCTTGCGACTGGACATTGCGAGGCATATTTCCTTTCGATTTGCCCTTGAGAAATAGCTTATCATTTTCCTTTCCCTTCCATTTTTGCTTCAATATTTTTTTCTTAACCATAAATGAGTTTTCTTTGTTGAACCTTTTCTTTCCAAATATTTTTCTAGGTAAAGGATGTAGAAGCTCAAATATTTCTTCTCCGGTCAGCCTTGGTAGTGCCGGTCTGCTTTTTGAAATGCCGTCGAACTTTCCTACTAACTTTCTGAACTTGTGCCTTGTAGGCAACCATCTTCTGTGTTGCCAATAACAAAACTTATGACTATACTTCAGAAACTTTCTCTCATAGTCTGACATGCAAACCGGACAAGCAAACTAACCCTTCGTCGAACATCCAGACAGGTTAGCATATGCCAGGAAGTCATTAATTGTCCACATGACCATTGCCCGCATACAGAAAGACTCCTTACCATAAGCATCATAAGTACTGACACCTTCTTCCCAGAGAAGCTTTAGGTCGTCAATTAATGGTTGGAGGAAAATATTGATGCCATTTCCAGGAGAATATCTTCCAATGATCAAGAGTGAAAGTATCATGTATGTCTGCTTCATGCACATCGATGACGATAGGTTGTACGGTGTCAGCAACACTGGTCATGTAGACCAAGTGGAACTCATTAATCCAAACGGATTAAATACATCGCTAGCAAGTCCCAACCTAATATTCCGAGACTCCTTACCAAAGTTGGGGTATATACAATCGATGTTGTAGGCTATCTAAAAATCACAATAGATAGCTGATCCCCCCATCAAACACCAATGATGGAAGTTATAATCTGACGACTTCCAAAAGGTTATAATTTAAAGACTTTCACATAGATCGATGAATGTTATAATCTGACAACCTTCACAACAACCAATGAAAGCTCTAGTTCAACAACCTTCACAATCAACATCGGGAGTTACAATCCGACGACTCTCATATTTTCAATGAGTCAAGATGAAGATTACAAGATGACGGTCTTTGCAACGTTCTACAGAAGAAGTTATAAGTCATTAGCTTCTTCTAAAACGCGGATTTCACCTTCGCGTTTCAGTTCTTAAAACGAAGGCGACCCCCGCGTTTCCGAGCTTCAACAAGCAAAACGCAGGCGACCCCCGCGTTTCCAACCCTCAGCAAACCAAATGCTGGCGGCCCTCACATTTTTTTAATATCCAGCGGATGCCCAACTCCTCGTCTCTAGTCTAAAACACGGAGTTAGGGTCCTGAACGCTAACTTGGGCGTTTGACTCGTTCAAACACGTGCTGAACGGTTGCAGGAACCGTTTTCCCTCTACGATTTGAGGGATATCCGCCCCACTTAGGAGCGGATTAAGGGGGGGCGGTTATACCCCTCTCAACCCTATTATGGAGAGAATTAATGGGGTGGTTACACCCCTTAATTCCCTATAAATGTGGGTAAACTCAATGGAGTTCGAGCTGACTTTTTTTGGAGGGGAGGAGTTGGTTTTTTGGATCTGAGACTTGGCAGCGAGGAGGAGATCTTTGGCTTCTTTTTGGGGATCTTCGATTTGGAGTTTTGAAGATCAAAACTGCACAAAAGAGAGATCAACATTCATCTTTTGGGAGCAGTCCTGAGATCTTTCGGCCTTGGCTGATTAACTGACTTTCGGTTCAAATTAACTCTTTCATAGAGTTTCAAACTCGTTCAGAGTTTTAAACTTGCTTTGCAAGTTCTCCACAGCGTCAAATCGTGAGGAGGAGATACCATTCTAGTGAATTAAGACGTTCGGATCGTCAACGGAGAGCAAACTCGACGCGAGCATTCGAGGGAGGTACTCCATCTCCACCATGAAGAACCCAGAATTAAACAAAGGGGAGAATCCAGATCATTCTCCTCTCTTTTGTAATCAGGAAATCCAAATTGTAATCAAGATCGAGAGAATAAAACATTCAATTCTTTCATTTTACTTACTTTAAATTTTCTACCAACAGATGTGCTTCCATGCCTCACCATCAGCAGGATGTCTCAGTATCTCATCCTCTTTGCGGTCGGTTGAGTGCCATTGCATATTCTTAGCCAGCTCAGCAGACATATAAAACCTCTACAACCTGGAATAATTGGAAAATATCGGAGAACCTTCGTAGGGATTCTGCTCTGCTTATTGGATGCACCGCCTTCGGATGTGCTCGTATGTTCTCCTTTCCAACGTGATACATGACACATCGGGCATTCCTCCAGAGCTTCACTACCCTTATTGTATAGGATGAAGTCGTTAGGACATGCATCTATCTTCTTGTAATCAAGCCTCAGCGTATCAACAATCTTGTGGACTTCGTAATAGGTTGCAGGGATGCTTTTCTCGTCGCCTGGAATAACTTTCCTCAGCAAATCTAATAACATCTCGAAATGTGTAACAACTATCCCACTGAGTATTTAGATATGAAGAAGCCTCAGCATAAAAGAAAGCCTTGTAAACTCCTTGCACCCCTCGTATAATGGTGACTCGTTTTCTTCAACAAGTCTCATCAATCAATCTACATCTTGAAACATATCAGTAATGCTGACATCACTCACCGTCGTCACAGTAAGAATATCTTCCAATATATCAGTTGTGTCAACTGTCAGATTGTCGACTTCAGTGAACTCTTCATCTGATTGCATCACCGGGACGCCTTCACCGTGATAACTCCAAAATACATAATAGCTATCAAATCCATTAATTGATAGATGAAAACTTACGTCACTCCTAGCCAGCATTTTATCATTCCTGTAATTCTTACAAGGACAAATAATCGACACACTCAGCGACTGTAGAGGGTTTGTGTCAGAATAGGCTAAGAAAGCTTCTATCCCATCCTTGTATCAGGCGTCTAGATGCCTCCGATCATATGGTATGCTCATGAACGATTTGTCAAGAACTGTCCGCATCTAGAATTTAAAAATTAATGAAAGTGAGCATATCCCTACATATATCATTTTAATTTAGGACAAGCGTGTGTGACTGGCTGTCAAAGGAAGGCTTCTATCCCATTAGGTATGTAAACGCGGTGTGTATATGTATTTACGTGTGTTCAAGTGTACTTTCATTTCGTTAGAATTTTGACAGCACCTATCCGCTATTCTCCGAGTACACTATAGTGAGAACGATATACTCCTGCATATCCCTCCAACATTTATACACAGAGAACAATGAGTAAGCACCACCAAAACTCTGATAAAATGAAAGTACACAAGAACACACGTAAATACATATACACGTCACGTTTACATATCTAACACGTCCAAATAGGACAGATCCAATAAATATTTATATATAAGCCCCCGTCACATACACGTGCGAAAATGTTGTCGGACCGAATACGATGGTCTCGTATCCGCCAACCATCTCATACGCGTATGTGACAAGTAAATAAAGAGATTATATATAGTATTTATTGGATATGAAATTCTACGGATTGAAAATATAAGTGTACAGTGTGTGCAGTTTCTATGTAATTAGCGATATAATAGTTACGCTAACCCCTCACCCTCATCCTCACCCTCGCTGTAACCCTAACCCTCACCTAACCCTAACCCCCACCCTCGCCATAACCTTCGCCCTCGCCCTAACACTAACCCTCACCAAATTCTAAGCCCTGCCCTCACCATAACCTTTGCCCTCGCTCTAACCCTAACCCTCACCAAACTCTAACCCCCATCCTCGCCATAACCTTCGCCCTCGCCCTAACCCTAACCCTAACACACACATAACCCTAACACTCACCATAACTCCCGCCCTCGCCCTCTCCCTTGCCATAACCCCCGCCCTCGCCCTCTCCCTCGCCCTCGCCCTAACCCTAACCCCAACCCTAAACCTCAACCTCAACCTCACCCTCACCCTCACCCTTACCCTAACCCTTACCCTCACCCTCACCCTCACCTAACCCTAATCTTAACCCTAACTTTAACCCTCGCCTAACCCTAACCCTAACTATATTTTATTTTATTGTTAAAATTTTAGCAAGATGGAAATTTTTTTGTTTTGCAATATCATATTAGGGTTGGGTTTTTTTTATTTTTTTTGTTTTGAAAAAATTAAATTGTAACTATAATTAAAAAATGAAATTAATAAATAATAAAATTAAAAAAATCCTCTCTCTCCCTGCATCTCTCTTTCTCTCTGCCTCTCTCTCG